AATAAATGACATACAAACAGGAAGAGAGAAAGAAACTTATTTTTGTTTGCAGAAGACATAATGCTGTAACTGGAAAACCCTATAATCTTGGCAGAAATGCATTCTAAACTGACAAAAAAACTTCAGAAAAACTTCAGCATACAAAATAGATGCACAAAAATTAGTAGCATCTCTATAAATCAAAAATATGCATGCCAAAAGCCTAATCAAAAATGAAATTCCATTCACAATCACTACAAAGAGAATAAAATATCTAGGAACATAGCTAATGAGGGAGGTGATAGATCTTTATGACAAGACTGACAAAACTCTGCTTAAAGAAGTCAGAGATAAAACAAACAAATGGAAAACCATTTCAGGCTCATGGACAGAAAAGACCAATATTATTAAAATGGTATTCAGCCCAAAAAATTACAGATTTAATGCTATTTTTATCAAGCTACCAAAAATTTTTCTTAACAGAACAAAACATATATATATATTTTTAAATGTATATGGAACGAAAAAAGAGCCCAAATAGCCAAGGCAATCATAAGCAAAAAGAACAAAGCTTAAGTCATTACATTACCTGAATTCAAACTATACTACAGGGCTACAGTAAACAAAGCAGCATGGTACTGATACAAAAACAAACTCATTCATAGACCAACGCAACAGAATAGAAAGCCCAGAAATAATGCCACATACCTACAACCATCTGGTCTTTGACAAGCTAACAGAAGGAATTTGGGGAGAATTCCCTATTTAATAAATGGTGCTGGAAGAACTAGTTAGCACTATGTATATGATTGAAACTGAACGCTTTCATTAAACCATATACAAAAATCAACTCAAGATATATTAAAGATTTAAATGTAAAACTTCAATTTATAAAAAAACAAAACAAAAAATGTGAGATAACTTAGGAAATACCATTGTAGATGTAGAAACAGGTAATTTTTAGATAAAGATGCCAAAAGCAATTGCAATAAAAACAATAATTGACAAATGGAACCTAATTAAGCTAAAAAGCTTCTTCACAGCAAAGGAAACCATCAACACAGTAAACAAACAACACACAGAATAAAAAAAAATATTTGCAAACTATGCTTTTGACAAAGGTCCAATACTCATGATTTATAAGAAACCTAAGTTTACAGAAAATAAAAAAAACTCAATAAAAAGTAGACAAATAACATTAAAAAGAAAAAATACATGTGGCTAACAAGCATATAAAAAATGCTCATCACTAATTATTAGAAAAATTCAAAGAAAAATCACAGTGAAATATCATCGCACACCAGTGAGAATGGTTAATATTAGAAAGTGAATATACAACAGATGCTTGCAGGTTACAGAGAAATGGGAATGCTTATACACTGCCGGTGGGAGTATAAATTAGCTCAACCATTGTGAAAAGCAGTGTGGCGATTCCTCACAGAACTAAAAACAGAATTACCTTTTGACCCAGCAACCTCATAACTGGGCATATACCCAATAAAATATAAATTATTCTATTCTAAAGACATACGCATCTTCATTGCAGCACTATTCACAATAGCAAAGACATGGAATCAACCTAAATGCTTATCAATTGCATACTGGATAAAGAAAATACAATATCGTTAGACATGTTGTCTCAAATCTGTAATCTCAGCACTTTGAGGGGCTGAGGCTGTAAACTGCCTGAGCTCAAAAGTCTGAGATCAGCCAGGGCAACATGGCAAGACCCCGTTTCTACAAAAAAAAAGAAATTTAGCCAGGCCTGCTGGTGTGTGCCTGTAGTCCCAGCTACTTGGGGGACTGAAGTAGAAGAGGACTGCTTGAGCCTGGGAGGTTGAGGCTGAAATGAGCTGAGATCATGCCAATGTACTCCAGTCTGGAAAAAAGTGAGACTCTGTCTTTAAAAATAAAATAAAAGGTTTAATAGAAATAAAATATGATACAGAAATGTAGAATACTGCATAGTCATTAAAACACACACACACACACACACACGTCCTTTGAAGCAACATAGATGAAGCTGGAAAACATTCTTAGAAAACTAATGCAGCAGCAGAAAACCAGGTGCATGTTATTTCTAAGTAAAAGCTGAATTATAAGAACACAGGAACACAGACGGGAACAACAGACACTGAGACTTAGTTGAGGCTGGAGAATGGGAGGACAAAGAGCAACAGAAAAAGCACCTGTTTGGTGCTATGCTTAGTACCTCAGTGACAAAGTAATCTGCACACCAAATCCCCATGACACAGTTTTAGCTGTATAAAACACCTACATGTGTACCCCTGAGCCAAAAATAAAAGTTAAATAAAAATCTGTAAGTGGGAAACAGTGCGATGTAGGCGGAAGAACTGGTCTGTGCTACAGACAGCGGCTCGGGTGGAGGTATACTCTGATGCTTGTTTGTGTTTATGCAGGCAGATGAGATTAAGAACAGGTGGTCCAGAGCCCTCGGTGAGGAAAACAGGCTGCTGTGGCAGATTCAGTGTCTGGGGTTGGGGGTATGCAAGGAGACTTGTAGATACTTTTGTAGGTTTTTGCCAAGAAACACTAGAATCAAAAATGGTGTTGTGAAATTTCTCAGTGTGGTGCCTAGTCGTGGGAGAGGCATGGACATGTTAGTATCTAGTGGGTATGCCTGTGAGTGAGTGGGAATCCCGTGGTGACAGCTGTGGAAAAAGGGGGTCTGCTATCAGAGTTCTTTCCTCTAAGTTTTGTTTTTTTTGTTTTTTTGTTTTTGGTTTTTTTTTTTTGAGACGGAGTTTTGCTCTTGTTACCCAGGCTGGAGTGCAATGGCACGATCTTGGCTCACTGCAACCTCCACCTCCCGGGTTCAGGCAATTCTCCTGCCTCAGCCTCCTGAGTAGCTGTGATTACAGGCACACGCCACCAGGCCCAGCTGATTTTTTGTATTTTTAGTAGAGACAGGGTTTCACCATGTTGACCAGGATGGTCTCGATCTCTTGACCTTGTGATCCACCCTCCTCGGCCTCCCACCGTGCTGGGATTACAGGCGTGAGCCACCGCGCCCGGCCTCCTCTAAGTTTTTATCCTCTTAAATCCTGGGAGGAGACCTGGAATCACAGGACAATGGGCAGTGTGACAGCCTGTGTACAGGAGAGCAGAGCCTTCCATTTCCAGACAACCAGAGTTGGATTACAGGCCAGGCCTCTGTGATATCTTTTCTCTTGTACCAAATCTGTAGTTTGCTGAACACCAAGGCTTTCTCCAACACCAACTCACTGACTAACATTTGAATTTGAATTCTGATACTATGCAGAGTCAGCATAGACCCTGATTCAGGGCTCAGTCTCACAACACTGTCCTAATGGCAGATCTCAGTCAGAAACCCCATAGGCCTATCTATGCTTCTAAGCTACTGTTTAAAAACTGTGAACTCCTGTAAACTCCCTCAAGTTTCATAACTTGTTAGCGCTACTCACACAGCTCAGGAAAACACTGTAGCTACATTTATCAGCTCATTACAAAAAACACAACCCTTTGCAGTAGTGTCGAAGGAAATTAAAACACACACACACACACACACAAAACCCAGAAAAAGTCAAATGAAGGAAATGTGGCCTGGCGGGGTGGCTGACACCTGTAATTCCAGCACTTTGGGAGGTCGAGGTAGGTGAATCACGAGGTCAGGAGTTCAAGACAATCCTGACCAACATAGTGAAACTGTCACTACTAAAAATTCAAAGATTAGCTGGGCGTGGTGGAGTGCACCTGTATTCCCAGCTACTGAGGAGGCTAAGGCAGGAGAATTGCTTGAACCCAGGAGGTGGAGGTTGTAATGAGCCGAGATTGCACCACTGCACTCCAGCCTGGGTAAAAGAAAAGAGGGGAGGGAAAGGGAGGGAGAAAAGAAAAGAAAGAAAGAAAGAAAATGAAAACTATAGCACAAAATAAAAAATGGAGAAAGATAAAGCACACAGATAATACTGATAAACAGCTGTGATTAATAAAATTCTTGATCCTTTGTGTTCTCCAGAAACAGTTTATGGAAAGAAACAGGCTTTCCATTATGACTTAGTTGGTGCTCTATTTTCTTACCTATCACATAGCCAAACATAGACTTTGCACTTTTTCTTCTTGTTGTCATTTTAAAAATCAGCTGAATTTTTCTTCAGTGGTCAAAATAAAATATTTTTAATCAAATTTCGCTTAAGTCTGTCTCCTGCCCACAGGCTCCTGAACATTCAGCTACACTCAATCTGAGTCAAAATACAACCCTATGTTATGTCCCTCCTAAGGACATGCTGACTTCAGGGTAAAACATCAATCTAGAATCTGATTTTTTCACCCCCCATCTGAAAATTCCCTTCCATCTTCTTTCTAATCCTGTTTGTTCCTTCCTATAAAAGAAAGCCCTCGTCTGCCTGAACTTTGCAATTTTGACAGATCTTATAGTAGTACTTCCTTCTGTTGCAATACTCCTTTGGAATTTATTTAATAATTTATTTTGAGATGAAGTCTTACTCTGTCACCTAGGCTATAGTGCAATGGCGTGTTCTTGGCTCATTGCAACCTCCACCTCCCAGGTTCAAGCAATTCTCCTGCCTCAGCCTCCAGAGTAGCTGGGACTACAGGTGCCTGCCACCACACCAGGCTAATTTTTGTACTTTTAGTAGACATGAGGTTTCACCTGCTCTGCTTCTCGTACTATAAAGGATTCTTCCATGGCTGGGATGAGCAGGCTGGGACATCTGCAAGGGAGACTCTTCAGAAAACAATTAGTTGGGTTGTTAATAATCTTCTTTTGGAGGTTCAATATTAGCCTGAGCTTGGAGGCACTAGGCTCAAGCTTTTATTTTCATATCAGAATTATTTAACTTGGTTTTCAAAACAACGTGTGTGAAAAATTCAGCAACATTACTCAAACGCAATGTTCATCTAAAGGGACAAAAGTATAAGGTGCTTACATTTTAAACCTCAATGAGAAAAGCAAAAGTATCTATTCCTTTCAGACAATATATGTCTTGTCGCATTTTTTCATTAAATATCAGGTAGTAAGCTTTGCGCAGTGGCAGTATCATAGCTAATGAGGTTTATCCAAGATTCGATTATTTCTGATTGAAAACTTTTTCCAATACCCCCCAGGACGACTTGCAACATAGTCGACATTGGCAATTTTTGAGTCTCTACAGAGACACAATTAAAAAAAAAAATCATGTAGTAAACAATTAGTAATATGGGAACATTTCTAGGCGGTACCAACTCTTATCTCATAAAATTTAGCATGAAACTCAGAAGTCAAGGTAATAGGATACAGAACAGAGATATTTACTGTCACAAATTTACCCTGCAAAAAGAGGAAGTGATATTTTTATTACTCTACATAACTTAGCAATTATCTACATTTTCTTGTAAAAAAAAAAAAAAATTTTTTTTTTTTGAGACAGAGTATCGCTTTTTCGCCCAGGCTGGAGTGAAGTGGCATGATCTTGGGTTCAATGTAACCTCTGCCACCTGGGTTCAAACAATTCTGCGGCTTCAGCCTCCCCAGTAGCTGGGATTATAGATGCCCTAAACCACGCCAGGCCAATTTTTGTATTTTTAGTAGAGGCGGGGTTTTGCCACGTTCGCCAGGCTGCTCTCAAACTCCTGACCTCAGGTGATCCACCAGCCTTGGCCTTTCAAAGTACTAGGATTACAGGCATGCGCTACTGCTTCTGACCGGAAATGTATTCATTTTCTACAGCTAAAATGCAGCAGAAATTTTCCCTATTGTTTTTCTTGGTAGCATTTGAAAAGCAAAGCTTTGGAATTCTGCTTGAAATCACCCAGTCATAAAAAACATTTTCGCAATAACTCCCACAAATTTTTAATAGGAGAAATGAGAAACTGAGAACCCCCTAAAGCAAACCAAAGCTCTTCCCATTCATGACCCGGAAGCCGAGTCAGGATTCTCCCCTGGCAACCCTCCGGTGGTCCCTAAAAGAGAAAATCTTGAAGAGACCCGGAGCTGCGGGTGCAGAGCTGCCCAGAGAGGGCTCCAGGCCAGGGGACAGTCACTGCGCAGACGCCATCTTATTGCTGAAGGGGACTGAGGCCGAGCTGAGCAAGGAGAACTGGGGGCACATTGCTGAGCTGACCGCGGGGAGGTCTGAGTCCCCACAGCCCCTTCCCCGATCTTGGGATATCGGACCCGGCACTCACACCATTTCTTGGCTTCCAGGGGGTCCTGGCATCTTAACTGTGGATCTCCAGTACCAGCAAGTCTCACACACGCTGGACCTCTAGGAGCAGAGGACAGCGAAGACAAAACCTGGAACGCCGGCTGCAGCAAGAGACAAAACCGCCGCCACATCCCAGAAGCCAGCCTTTCCTCTCCAGCTCCATGCCTGATTGGACGGTTCCCAGAGCAGCTCGCTGATTGGATAAGGTTTAAGTCCCCGCCGCCTCAGACCCTGAATGACAGAAGACATGACCAAATGCTGGCTTGATTGAAGAGTGACAGCCAAAGGTACAGCCTTTTCAAACAGGGCTTCTTCTCTGAGCTGAGCCAGGCCCACCCCAGGTGTTTGCCCTTAGCCTTGTGTATTTGTAAACAATATACTATATGGCTGCTCACACATGAAAAGTATAAAAATTATTTTTAAAGTTTAGCCTTTATAACCTTCCTGGCTTCTGGTCCTTTGAGAAGGCAGCTTGAGATTGTTTTGTTTTGTGATAGAGTTTCACTCTGTTGCCCAGGCTGGTGTGCAATGGCGCGATCTCGGCTCACTGCAATCTTTGCCTCCCGGGTTCCAGTGATTCTCCTGCCAAGTAGCTGGGATTACAAGCTTGCGCCACCACTCCCGGCTAATTTTTGTATTTTTAGTAGAGACGGGGTTT